CTTTTCGACTCCTGCAAAAATTATATTTCTACGGATCAGCACGGTTTCTACCCCAAAAGATCTACATCTACCAATCTCGTCCAGTTTACTTCGTTTTGCATACGCAACATTGATGCTGGTGCTCAGATCGACACCGCATACACTGATTTGAAATCAGCTTTCGATAGAGTTGACCACGTCTAGGAAGAATTGGTGTCCCTGCGGATCTTGTTAGCTGGTTTGGATCATACCTTACGGATCGTAGCCTCACCGTTAATATCGGATTTGAATCTTCAGAACAATTTTCAAACTTATCTGGCGTGCCACAGGGTAGCAACCTGGGTCCTTTGTTATTCTCACTCTTCATCAACGAGCTTTCTCTCGTACTACCATCTGGCTACCGTGTGTTTTACGCTGATGACGTCAAAATATACATGATCATTAAAGCTATCGAGGACTGCTATGCTCTACAATTGCTGCTGAATAGTTTTGCTGATTGGTGCACCCGGAACATGCTGACGTTGAGCATCCACAAATGTAACGTTATATCAACAATCAATACGAAACTAACGATTTTAAATTGGCTCACTACTTGACTAGCCTATTGGCAACCGGTGGAAACTAACGATTTAAAATTGACTCACTACTTGACTAGCCTATTGGTCCCAAGCAAACGATTAACGTACCCTATTCTAGTTGAAATTCTATTACTACACTATGTTTGTTTTGATTCGCTATGAAAGTTTGACAGATAACATCAGGGGTGTGTGGATTCATCCAGAACACGCAGGGGTGAGTGAAATAGCTTGGGACTGCTTGGGACCGTTGTTCTGGTACTGAGTGAGCCAAAAATAATAATGATTTTCTTCGGGACCCAGTGGTCTTAGAGTTACCTCTATGCTACAACCACAAACGAAGTGACAGACGGAGCGGCTCGAAAACTTTGGTGACTAACCTGCTATTGCAATTTTTCAGTGTACCACATGGCAACACCACTACTACTGGATTGAACCACATGGCAACACTACTACCAACAATCAATACGAAAGTAACGATTTTAAATTGGCTCACTACTTGACTAGCCTATTGGTCCCAAGCAAGCGATTAACGTACTCCATTCTAGTCGAAATTCTAGTACTACGCAATGTTTGTTTTGATTCGCTATGAAAGTTTGACAGATAAAATGAGGGGTTATTGGTTTTTCCTATGTTTCGAGGGGTGAATCGATTAGCTTGGGACCGAAGAGAGTACCAGAGCTGAGCCAAAAAGTTGAGCACGTTTTTTTGGGACCTTCTAGTCTTAGAGTTACCTCTATGCTACTACTGGATTGAACTAGCATTTTCACCAAATGTACTAGAATGTTTTGGTTCTATCTCTTTCACTCTACTCAAAACTGAAATGCATAAAAAAATGACAAAATGATACGCACTCTTTGCACACTGTCAAAGAATCATTGTACACAAAATCAACTTTGTGCAAAACCAAAACAAAAATACTATCCCATCTGGTGGATGATGGCACAAGCTTCTAAGAAAATTCTATTACAGCGAACCACATTATTTTAATTCATTTCTTCGCCAGTTAGTCGTCTGTCACTTCGTTTGTGCTACAACCTCATTTCAGTGATCATAGCTTGTCATTTTGGGATAATATGATATCATAACCTCAATGAAATTATATTCCAACAAACCGTTCGCCGGAATTCACAGATCCGCGTTCCGGAACCGATGCCAAACTGGCCAAAATCATCTGAAATCATCTTCATTCACTTGATTCTACCTATTTGACATGATTTGACATGCCACAAGATACTTTTGCCTGAGATATTACTATAACCTGCAAAAACCGATAAAAACCGGTAACCCCTCATTTTATCTGTCAAACTTTCATAGCTAATCAAAACAAACGTTGCGTAGTACTAGAATTTCGACTAGAATGGGATACGTTAATCGTTTGCTTGGGACCAATAGGCTAGTCAAGTAGTGAGCCAATTTAAAATCGTTAGTTTCGTATTGATTGTTGCTACTACTAGATTAAACTAGCATTTTCACCAAATGTACTAGAATGTTTTGGTTCTATCTCTTTCACTCTACTCAAAACTGAAATGCATAAAAAAAATGACAAAATGATACGCACTCTTTGCACACTGTCAAAGAATCATTGTACACAAAATCAACTTTGTTCAAATCAAAACAAAAAAAACTAACCCATCTGGTGGATGATGGCATAAGCTTCCAAGAAAATTCTATTACAGTGAACCACATTATTTAAATGGATTTCTTCGCCAGTTAGTCGTCTGTCACTGCGTTTGTGGTAATAGTGCTATGCCAATTTAAATTCGTTAGTTTCCAACCGGTGATAATACCATAGATGTAACTCCATAGAGGTAGTATAGAATTAAGAGCCACGCACAATGCATCCGGATATGATGAATATTAATGTTTACACGCATCCTAAGGTCGAATGTATGAAAATTCTGGGTAATCAGGTCTCCACAAACAGAGATTTATCACAGATAAACAGACGTAACTATTGCTCCTCAATCGCCATACAGGCATTTAACGTTAAATTTAAATATTACTACACTAATAAAACTCAATGCTAATTTTTATGTGTCCCACATATGACATATATATGTTGGTCACATAGTTCTTATGGGTACACATAAAATTCATGTGTAATCACACATACTATTCATTCGATTCATAAATTTCATGTGTACTTCTGAGTGGATTTTGTTTTGGAAATCCAAAAATGCATTAAGAATGTTCATGCTGGCTTATAAAAGTCTAAGGGAGCGAAAACATACGAACTGATATCACAAATATATTCGTTCCACAAGCTGACGCTAATGTCACAATAACATTGTCTAGACCAAACTTTGTGGAAACTTACCTGAAATAAATCTGCTCAGAATCTCGAGAAACCAAGGGAGGATCACGTGTCCCCAGGGATCAAGTGTGTCCAGTATACCCTGCAGAAGCTTCGTAAATGAGAATTGCAACAAATTGACAGCTGAATAGTATTGTCTGCTGTTAGATTTACCGCAACGTAGCAAATTCGGATACATTGTGTGCCGCTCTTAACCCTCTCCGTCCCATAGATGATCCACAACTTATCGGTTCATCTCATGTTTGTCTATCTACCATTAAATAGTCAGTACTTATTGAATCATCTCCATACGCTCATTATTTTCGTCCATATGTATTCTTGAAGATTAAACTGAGTAGCATTGAACAACAATTAACATACTATGGATTTTGAACCGAAAAAAAACTTTGGTTCGATAATTTTAGGCTGTATGGAACATCTTTTGTTCCTAGCACATTTTTCAAAAAATGTATGTTTGCATCTCAAAATAATCAAAAACCTTCTGGGAAGTAAAGGGTTAAAGCTCCGGCTGGGGCGTACCGTGCAAGCAGCATATATGAAACCTCGTATGGAACTATGTCTAATTATGGACAGTGTTTTATTGTATCGAGAGCTTCTATCATAACATGAACTTGTATATTGTGTGGTAAGCAAAATAATACATTACAGATATCTAGAGGAATCAAGATAAATTTCATCCTGAAAGTAAAACGTCGACCCACCGCCTACAGCATAATGTACATCAGGTGTACTTCTCATTTGTTTCTTTTGCATAAACATACATTTGCCAAATCCGTAAATTTAAAATTTTGCATCGATAGTTACTTTTAGATAGAGGTAGATCAACTGAAAAACATGTTTTAGGATTATGATGTCTCCAAACTTTTTTGTTTTATATTGCTACTGATTTAAGGAAGAAAAAATGCTATAAAAAGTTCCAATTCTTATCTCTAGGTATCATACAAAATATCACGTTTTCTAATACTTTTTTTTTTCATTTGGCTGCTTTTTCCTCCGCACAGGGCACATTTCTTATATGCATATTACGAATCACGTACGATTTTAACTCATCAGAAAGCGATGTAGACATTGTGACCACACCAATTTCTACGCAGGCTCATAATTTTGTGTACTTGGATATTTTTGCTAATTTCTCAGCAATGATAGTTAAGTTAGTATTTAAGAAAACCAAATCAATATTGTTGTACTTAAATTGGAGAGCAATAATACAAAATATCCAAGTGCGCAAAGTAAAAAACCAGCGAAAAATTCAGTTTAGTTACAATTTTAAAAAAGTCCATCGAGAAAACACTTTAAAATCACTGAATCGCACATACCCGCACGAAAAAGAAATGCATATGTCGATCGTTCAGAATGACGAATTCATCAAATTGATTGCTGGAAAGGTATCAATGAAATTGTGAAATTCCATTAGTCCATCGCGCCGATGCCGCTCCATGTGTTTAGGTAAGTTTCGACGCTGGGTCACAATCTTCGGACATAATGGACACTGAGCGCCCTTCCCGCACTCTTTCATATGACCCCGTAGTGCGCTCACTTTTTTGTACTTGACCCCACATTGAGGACACACGTAGCGAGTTAACCCATCATCCATTATTACCACCTTGGGTTCCAGCATTTCGATATAATCTAAAAATAAACGATGGCAAGTATGCGTAGAGAAAATGAAAAAAAAAGTTGTATTAATCAATTGAACTATGTATCTTTGTAGGACAAAAAGCTCCTCATCAAAGAAAAGGTACATATAAATTGATCAATTAAGACGATCAAACAAATAAAAAATAGGTAGAAAAAAAGAAGAAAATACTGAATAAATAGGATGAAAACAAGTAACAACGCAATAAATATTATATAATAATTACCTTTCAATTAAGAGCAAGTAGAAGTAAATAGAAGAGGAGAAATAAATTCAGTTCGATACGATTAGTTTAGCTTGTAAATCTATAATAAAAGAAATAATCAAATTATTCTAGCAATACTTATAATAATATAAGACCATACCATTGGGGTTGATTGAACTGAACGCTACTTACTAACGCAAATTATGACTTAAATTAACGAGAAAATATATAACCCTTGTTTACTCTACTCCACCACCATCAACATACACATAACAATAAAACACTCGATTCATATTCGATGATCTTCTATATGAATGTAGTATCCATATATTCATTTATTTCTTACACAAATCTAAAGGTAGACAGATAGAACCTATAAATTTGGCTTTGTCAATCTAGGGTAGCTGCTAAACAAAATATCTGAATATTTGGATCAATGGTAGGGAAGCAAACTATTTGGAATGTAAAGGGACACGATGTCTTCACAGATTCACTTTTATACTAACAATGCAAGGTCTTATGTACCTTCAGGATGTGCCTATTCAATATGAAAGAATATGAAAACTTTTTTTTACAAAATGGACACGGAAAACGTCGATTATCAATGCACTCATTGCGTAGGTGGCGAATCAAAGAATATTTTATTTTGTATCTGAAAAAAATAAAGGCAGAAGAAAAAACATTAAAACAATTAATATATACTGGCTGTGTTACGAAACTTGGACGTGGAAATGTACTCACTTTCGATCACAGGTACCATTCGGACAATGGAAGAAACCAGCGGCATCAGGGCATCCTATCACAAGTGATATCGATGTATCATCTCGGCTATTCACATTGTACATTGCAGTAACCAACGAGTCACCGTCATAAGAGGATTCAGCAGCCTCGTCACGATCAACTGAAATAAACAAAAATAAGTGTTAGTATAAGTTTTGAAGGTGTTGAAATCGTTTAAAAATACGAATATTTTATATTTAGGACAATGATTCTAAATGATGTCATAAGGTTTGATTTTCTTAATTAAATATGGATCTCTTTTTTTAACGGTTATCACATTTTATTTCTTTTAAATTAAAACAGTATCGCTGTTATTATTATCAGAATCTTAATAAATTATATTTCTATGTTCTTTTTGAAAAATATATTTTGTTTTAAAATAACAATATTTGCTTTTATAATTTTGATTATAATTTCTGACTTCACATCTTTAGTTGCATTTTTTTAATCAATTGATTAATAAACAATCATTAGTTTTGGTATATTTTCTTCATCTTTTTACGACGTATCTACATATCGCAATAGTGAATAATGTGTATTTGTATGTATGTAGCTGTGTATCGGTGTATTTATAGTTTATTTCTTATTCAACATTCCTTTTGTAGTTTGCTTCCTCCAGAAAAGATGGCATTGAAACTATATTAAACAAAACAAAACAATCCAAACAATGGGTAAAGGAAGAGGACACTGTGTGAGAGGTGATATAATAACTAGTCATAGTCTGGTAACTTTATAATGGTAACTCTGCATTATGTTGGGCTTATATCTTAGCGGATGTTAGCTAAAATGTTATGGCGTTTTTGGACAAAATAATTTGCTTCAGATTTCGTCGGTAGCTGTGTTCCAAGATGGCAAATACGTTGAGCATTTATACTGAAATCAGTAAGTAACACAAAATTATCCTTTTCTTCTGTTTCTAGTATTGCAACATAGCTAACATAACCTATAGCTATATCCAAGTTTAATTAAAGCATTGGTTAATCAGAACAGAGTTTATTTTGTTTGTTTATAATATATATATGTATCTGTGTTTGGTAGATCTCTAACTTCGATAGGAGGAAAAATATATTTTATTTTCAACAAATAACATAACAAAATGTATTAATCAAAGCATCTTTATGTTAATTTAACATATGGTAAAAACTCTTGCTCCAAACACCAATCAAAACTAAATCATATTATAAGACCTATACTAACTCCATTACCATTGATGCTCAGTTTTACATTTCTTATGCAATGTTATTTTTCTGCAGATTCCTTATTATTGTGCACATATTAGCACTAGATGTCGATCTTCATCGCGTTCCAACTGAAATACAGCAACTGAAAACACGAACTTTTGTAATTACTCGAACATTAAACATCCATACTGACCTATCTTTGGAGGAGTTAGAAATATGAAAAATGACATCTTTCGAAGTAAGTAGTTTTTTTTATTAATCCTCCTAAAAAGATAGTTAAAAATTAAACTTTTTATTTTGTTTCCCGGAAATGAATTGACAGTTCAGCAAAGTTATAAAATATACCAAATCATAAAAAACTGCCGAGGACGTCAACTCTCTAGCTCTCTGCAAAGATCCAAGAAGTTTTCTAAGGAACGGCAAACAGTTTTTTGAGCAAGATTTATTCTTTGAATATTTTTAGACTCTGGTGTGTTGTAAAAAATTTAATAAAATAAATAACTTTGCTGAAGACGTAACGTTGCGATAATTTGTTGTGATATTTTTTAAAAAGTTTGTATTTTTAATGGTAACATAAGAAATGTCTATTTTAATTATGTCTCTGGAATACGTCAAAGGCAAAAAATCATCTGAATTTATTATTAATATATTTGGAGTACAAAAACTATTTTCATTTCTACTACTTTGTCTCTATCTCATGTTTCATATTTACAAACTTCTTTGGAGATTAGAACCGGTGTCAAAAGTAAACACCGGCCTTACATAGAACCTCTGTCAAATGTTTGTTCAGTGTCGGAGTGAACCACTCCAATGCCGACAACAGTATATCTACGAAATCGATCGGGATTTAATCCATGGATAATACTGGTTGTGGCTTGCCAGATCAGTACAGTAATGTTCGTAATTTCAGTGTTTCTAAACCTTTACTACTTTCCAACTAAAACATTATTTGAGCACATACATAATTGTTAATTTGGATTTTTTATCGCCCGTTCCATTTTATATGCTTAATGCAAGTTCAATCCCATTATAAATTGCATGGAAGCTAAAAATAAGTTTATAAGTCCCGTACAAAGATTTATTTTCACCTTAAGTTAAGAAAAGATCCTCCCAGGTGGACCAGGTTTCAAACTTGCTTCCTCATGCACAAATTTTGATTAACTAATCCTAAATTTATTTATTTTTTGTTAATTAGTACAGTTACATTTACATTAAAACCGTATTACACCACATTGTGATAGCTTAAAACTAATGATTAGAACATAAAAAAAACTTGCATTCACTCCATTCGTATGTTAACCAATAGTTTGCTTCCCTGACAGCAGATTCTGTAACTTTTTCTGCAAAGGGAAAGTAAAACCGGGAACACTTATCCATACAGCAACTGTAAGTTACTGTGGTAGGTACATAGCCCAATTCTGACATAAACGTTATTGAGACAAAGCGTAGAGCGCTTCATTTTTTTACATTAAAAAAATAAAACATATTTCCAATGTAAAATATTCATTAGAATTACACATAACTTTCATGTGAACCTTATATGTGTCCAATGAAATGTATGTGATTTATCACATAGAATTCATGTGATCATATGAATGTTATGTGCATTTCAGATAAAAATCATTAATTTTGTTGTTAGAAAAATATCATGTGCATTCTCAATGGAATCTATATGAAAACTTTTTCAGTGTAGGTATTCATTAGAGAGGGTCTAGTATAAAAGAGAAGCGGATTCAAAACAAACTGTCATGGCAACCTATGCTTTGGTAATTTATAGCAACACTGCCAATGCAATCAAGATATCAAGCTACGTACAGAAAGCTGTAAACATTACCTTGAGTAACGTGATTATCGTAGTAGCGTAGGAATTTGGATAAAATACATGACAACACTCCTACACTTTTTCGATCACAAACAAAGATTCCTTGAGTTCGATTTTCAAAACTTGTAGTTCAAACAACCTAAGGGACCTCCCTTAACTCAGTCGGCACAGCTATAAAGCAAGACCATGCTGGAGGTGGCTGGGTTCGATTCCCGGTCCGGTCTAGCAACTTTTCGGTTTGGAAAATTTCTCGACTTCCCTGGGCATAGAGTATGATTGTACTTGCCACACAATAATACTAATGCAAAAATGGTACAGGCATCGAAAGCTCTCAGTTAATAACTGTGGAACTGCATCTAGAACACTAAGTTGAGAGCACGCAATAAGCTAATATGCCATACGAAATAAACTTGAAATGCGAGGAGGAAGAAGAAGAAGTTCAAACAATGAGTAACAAACTTGCTGAAGATTGCATGATTAATCCAGTTAGTTTTATTGAGATATTCGCTCTTGAATGCATATGAGCATTTTGTATATAAACATTTCATCCAAATCTACTTTATGAACATTAAACCAAAAGCCCCAGCGCGTGTTACGACAAAAGCGCCTGGAACATACAGAGAGGTTATCTCACCTAAAGACACGAGTTTTTGTGTTGGCCTGTGGAAAATGTGAACTTTTATTTTTAGTGGTAATCTAGGTTATACGTTGCATAAGCTGCCTGTATTTTGTTGCAATATACGAACAAAATGCACATATAAATTCAAGAATGAATATCTCCATAATACTAACTTGAATTGTGATGCTGTCTTTAGCAAAGTTGATCCGTTTAGTTTAGGCTAAATGTGCTGAAATACTTAGTTTAATCGAGTTTTCTGAACCAGTTCTATGCACGAAAGGGTGAAATAATGTTATTTCTCCATTTATTACAACCAAAATCCCCATACAAACATTACAAAAGCGCCAGCTCATATTAAATTTCCAGAGAGTGGTTTCTCACCCAAGGCATTGGGGTTTGGTCCATTGAAAAAAATGCTACAATATTTCTCGCATTAAAATGTGAATAGTAGCTTCATATATTAACGGAGATTAGCATTTTTACAGTTTCTCCTACCGTCTTGCAATAAAAATATTAATTATATGATTCTTCTTTGTTTGCAAAGCTAACTTTTCCAATATACCTTACTTCTTCATCGTCATTAATCAATAAAAAGGATCTAGTATAAAAACGTGTCCGTTATTTTCTTCACGCGGGCTATAGACGATGCAACTTATTTAGGAATAATCCGTAGGTGCAACATTTTTATAAACATTCAAAGTACACGAGTGAAACAGTATTTTCACGTAAATATCTTCAAATTAGAAAATTTACACAAAAATGGTAAAAAAAATCGCAATATATGTCTTTAGACCTGCACACACGATTGGAGCACTGCACATTAGGGTGCTTCATAATGAATAAAAGTAAATGTGTGGACGATCACGTTAGTCGAAATGCGGTTGGGAAACCTTTGTCCTGGTGGTTTGCGTGGGCGAGCTAGTAGTTGCGATAAATTAACCCTTCAAGTAATTGTTTACGACGTTTTTAATATTTACTCAAGATTTACTGGGGATAATGTTTCGTCACCCAAGTATTTCCATTTCATACCGCAGAAATTAGCAATGAGAAAACATTTTCTAACAGCAGGAACTGTCTTGACCATGAAAATAATCCGAAAATATTGCAAGGCCATTGACAGTTCATTTTGACTGATTTCCATAAATAATTCTGATTTACTGGGCGTTTAGTAATAAATAATCTGTTTGCTGATATTTCAGTAAATGCAATTTTACCGAATTTTTTTCAGTAAACCATTTTGCTGGAAGTAAATAGCAGAATTTGGTGTGTAAAGTTGTCTATTATCCCCTGGACATAGGGTATAAATCGAAGACATCAAACCTTTTTCTGAAGATGTAATCTTTGCTATCAAATTCGTTCGAAGCATTTACCTTTGAGCGACAGATGATGCGATTAGGTACAATCTAATTGTGCTTCCACAGCGGATAATTGAGATATTTTTTAGCTCGTCATCGAAGTTGCATATTAAGTAGCATGTACATTTATACCGAAGACAACAT